CCCTCCCCCAGCCTCAGTTTCCTTATCTGTGAAGAGGGAGGAGGATCCGGGTCTCTGCCTCCTGGGTGGCCGCGCGGATTCTCCCACGAGGGCGGCTAAGTTTCTGGCTCCGGGCCCGGGTGGGGGTGCCTGGCACATTTTCTTTCCTCCGTTCTCTATTTTTTCGAGGGAGAGGGCGCGTCGGGAGTGCGGGTTGGGGCCTGAGCCTCGAGCGGAGAGGCGTGGAGAAGGGATCCCACCACTTTTCGTCAGCGTGTGGCCCATTTCCTATACCTCGTGAGGCATCCCCGGAGGTGCGCGGGGTCGAAGCGCAAAGCAGTCCAGCCCTGGGCGTCTGGGGAATCCCCATAGTATCTGCGCCCTGGTCATCTTTTCTCTGCCAGCCCTTCTCTGGGACCCCACCGTGCTGGCGGTTTGGAGTAGGCGATGGAAGGTGGGCCTTCGTGGCCCTTTGGGGTCTGGCCGTTGGCGTATTCACTCCTTCAGAAAGTAGAGGGGAAGCAAAGGTGGTGATGTGGGGCTGCATTTGGATGGAGCATCCATCCTGTCCGTCTCTTAGCAGGTGACTTATCTGCTCTGGATTGGGTAAAGGATGCCCGGCTGCCTCCTTAGGGTTATTGTGGGGATCCCTTAGGGGTACCGGCACCCAGAGGGGACTTGTTCCACAGCCTCTCAGGGAAGGAACAGAGTTGGCCAGGGCCTTGCAGCACAGGTGGTCTTGGAGATGGCTCTGCAGGCAAGCCCCAGACACATTGCAGGGTTTCCAGTACCAAATGGAGAGACTAAGCTTCCACCCTTGGGTTGTGAGGAGCTGGACTTGGAGGCTGGAGAGGAGGAGGGAGTAGGGTAGTGGGCACGGAAAGTGCCTGTTTTCTACATTCCCCCCCCCCTTCTGTTTCGTCCTCATAGCCTGGGGCCAGGACCCTCTGCCCATCTTGGAGCCTAGCAGGACAGAATATAGGGTGGACTCTACATTTAATGCCAGAGGTCTCCACCTTTTGCTGAGAGGTTCCAGGGTGCGTTGGGCATGCATTTCTGCAGGAGAGACATTTGGGGAGGAGCTGTGAAAGTGGCCAGGGAACTCTGGGGGCAGAAAGGGAGATGCCTGCAGGCCCGGCTGAGCTGGAGAGTGGCTTGGCTGCTTGCTAGTGGGTTTGCTGTTCTGACCTGTGGGGTGAGGTGGACCCTGGGGAAACCCTGCCTTCTCCACTCACGGCTGCACACCCCCTCCTGTCCTGCTCCAGAACCTCAGTGTTTCCTGATGGTGTGGCTCTGAGTACTAGTGTACTGGCTTGGTTTGTTTTTTTTCTGGGCCATCTTTCTTCCTGGGTTGGTTCAAAGGGGAGGCCAGGCCACCTCCCACTGTGGCAGCGTCTGCCCCTGAGCCCGGCTCTGGGGTGTCAGCATGGTCATCCTATGTGGAATGAGAAAGAAGCGGGGCCTGGAGGCGAGTGGGGATGCCGGCATGCAGGTGGACATTTTACTACAGCTCTGTGTCTCCTCTGCATGGTGGGGAGGGCAGGGTGCCCTCCTTGGGTGGATCCCGAGTCCCTGCCCCCAACCACAAAGCCCCCTTTATAATGAACGTTTGGTGGCTAGGAGGACAGTCCTGGGCCCGGGCATCTCTGATTTACTTTCTAGTGGGTTGGACATTTGCATGCTGGATGACTCCTCATTCACGGTCTCTTCCGCTCCCAGAACCACAGTGGGGTTATCGTCCAAGGGCCACTTTTAATGGAAAGGGCTTTGGTTTCTGTAGTCCTCAAGGGAGGTCAAGGCAACTGTTAGGTCCGCTGGGGAAGCCAGGAAGGCCTACTGGGTCCTCAGGCCAGCTGGGTTCACCCTGAATGCCGTTGTTAGTCACCTGCTGTCTGTAGGGCTGTGGTCTGGGAGAATCCTGTCCTTACCCAACTCTGCCTGGGGACTTTCTCCTGCACTAAGGGGACAGCAGTCTGGCCTAGCTCTCAGGGCAGAAAGAAGGGCAGTGTGAAGTTTTGTGTCCCCAGCAGCTTTGCCACATTTGACCCTGGGCTGAGGGGGGCCAGGAGGAGCAGCAGGATCTTGTTCTCAGAAGAGTACCCCACCTGGTCTGTGGGTAGAGCCTGGACCACAAGCCCCTGTGCCCACAGCTCTTAGCCCTGTGGAGTGCCCCTGTGTGGGGCGGGGAAGGACTTTGGAAACTGTGGGAGATGTTGATGCCGTTGCTGTGGATACCTAGAGTGAGCCAGGGATGGGGTGGGGGCAGGGTGGAAGGAGAGGCGTGCTGTGGACTCCTTGCTCTTGGAACATCCTCCATGCCCAGAAGCCCCCTGGCCCTGGCCCCCAGTGCCCAGTCCAGTCAGCAGTGTGCCTCTGGGGGTGTCTGGCCCCTTTCCAGCCGAGGAGCTCAGACCTGGAAGAGGTCCCCTCTGGGCACTGCAGCCTGCTGAGCAGTGTCCCTGGCTTCCGCCCATTCCACGCCAGGAGCATCCCAGTTGTGGCAACTACTAGTGTCCCTGGAGGGGTTTGCAGGGTCACCCCCTGTTGCACTCTTCTCTAAGGTCCCAATTTACCTAAGTCTGAAAGGTATCACTGAGTGTCTGCTGTGTGCCAAGGCTGTGCAAGGCCCTGGGGGACAAAACTGGTCCCTGTCCTAACCCTTGAGCTCTATTCCCAACCCTTTTCATTCTTTATTTTTATTTTAAGATAGAGTCTTGCTAATTTGCCCGGTCTGGCCTCGAACTTGTGATCCTCCAGCTTCAGCCTCTGAACTGGTAGGATGACAGGTGTGTGCTGCCAGGCCAGCTTGTCCCAGGACTTGTGAAACCTCGAGGAGGGAGGGAGAGCTTTGCTGCTGTGGAGAACAAGGCTTCCCAGAGGAGCGGGTTTCAGACCTGTGCCTGGCCTGGGTGGGTGGGGCAGGAGGCTGGGTTTCCCCCGTGGGAGGAGTGGGCTGGGCCTGGGCATGGATTCTGAGGTGGGGAGGTGCAGGGCAGGCAAGGTGAAGGGCTGTCTGATCCCAAGGACGGGGCTGGGGAGGCAGGCTGGCTTGGCAGAGGAAAATCCGTTTATGGAGAAGGGATTAGGGTGGAAAGGGCTGAGGGTGGAGCAGGTCTGGGAGGGAGGGTGGGAGGTGGGCCAACCTGCCAGTTGGGGTCAGGGAGGATGGGGTGCAGGGGGAGGCTAGGGTGACCTCAGTTTTCTGATAGGGAAGCCCGAGGTGTCAGCAGGGTGTGACACTGCCCCAGGAGGAGGCACTGGGGATGGGGGCCTAGAAGGAAAGCAGCCCGTGTCGCAGGCAGAGCTGTGAGTGCCTACAGGGGCAGACTGGCAGTTCTGGGAGGGGGTGTGCCAGGCCCAGGGGCACTGAGGTGCACCTCCATTGGGTGCCCAGAGACTGCCTCACCCACTCTGCAGGCTCCCCAGCTGGTGGGAGGAACAGGGCCCCCCAACTTTGTGGGGGATGATAACTATCCCCCACCCAGACTGCCTGATAAAAGTGGCCCAGATGGGCTGGGAGTTGGTAAGTGATACCAGCCAAGGCTGGCCTCCTCGGTTTGGGGGCTGGACGCCTGGGTAGGGAGCCTCGCAGGGGTGTGTCCCCCTCGCCTTCAGGCCCCAAGAGGAAGGTACCAGTCTGAGTGTGAAGTGGCCACACAGGCTGGGTGGTCCAGGAGGGACAAGGGGCCTTGGGTTGTTGGTGGACCTTGTGTCTTTAAGTAAATGGAGGGGTGTGCGTAGTAACGGAGAGGATGAGCACATTGGTGCCTTGCTCTCCTGGAGTCCTGAGCTTGGTCCTCTAGGACTGCACAGGCCCCATGCCGGGTCCTGCTGAGGACTCAGTAGGGCACACAGCACCCTGCCCTTGGCTCACAGTGGGGTGTCTAGATGTCACCATGAGATACAAGAAGGCTCGGGACAGAAAAGCTGACAAAGGGCACAGGAGGTGGGGGCCACCAGCAGTCAGGGGACCCTCTGCGCACAGCCCAGGTGGAGACCTCGATGCTCACTCTCGAGTTAGGGCTGAGCAGCTGGGGGAGCTGGCTGCTGCAGCTGCTGCAGGGCTGGGCAGAGCCACGTGGGCTCTGGGGATTCTGAAGGTGGTGGGTTTGCTGGCAGGTGGCATGTGGGGAAGGGAGGGAGTGAGGACCCCGGGATGTGTCTGCCGATGTTTTGGGCAGGAACAGCACAGTGATTCCAAAGAGGAAGCTTGTGACATGGTGGGAAGCTTTGGCTCGGGAGGTCGAGGGCTGCAGCAGTGGAATGGGTAGGGGGATCAGGGACCAGATGGTGTTCCAGACCTGGGGCAGGTGGTGCCACCCCACAGGCTGGCCTTGGTTTTCCAGCCTTTTGCCATGGCTCCCAGAATCTCCGTTGGATTCAGTAGGACCTCTTCAGGGCCACCTCCTTTAGGAAGCCTCTGCCCCTCCCTGGGTGTGTGTAAAGGGTCCTCCTCCACCCACTACTATCTGTGGAGTGCCCTTGTCCCTCCCCTGTGTCCCTCCCCCATGGTGGGCACAGCCGGCCATGCCCCCTTTCTACTCGGCAGTCTCAGGTGAGGTTTCCCTGGCTGATTTCCTCGTCCTGAGCCCCAGCCAGACTGACACCCCCAGGCCCTCCCGCAGGCAGCTCAGGGGCTGGCGCAGGTTTTCCGGATGCCCTGGCCTCCGCGCCTCCGTTTGTCTAAAGGCTCTCCCAGCTGAGCTGTTTTGGCAGGGTGGCAGGTTGGCCTCCCGTTTTCCTGACCTGCATGGCACCCAGGCAGCCCTGCTGTCCTGAGCTCACCCTTCCTGCCAGAGTCAGAGGGTCAAGTCCACCTTGGCTCCGCCCACAGTGCCTTTCCTGCGTGGTCCCCACCCACCACTTCCTCCTGTGGCCACCTTCCAATCAGGTAGCCCGCAGTAGCCAGGTGGCTGTACTTGGAGTTCTGGTGGACTCAGCTCTGGGCCATCCCCATCTGCCCCCGAAAATTAACCCCCGAGAAAGGATGGTAAGATTGGGCCAGGCATTGCGGCCGTGTGCCCGACGCTGCGCACCCCCATACCTCCGCCCACGTGCGCACGTGTGTCCTCGCCCCTAACCCCCAACCGCCCTGCGGTTGGCCCTCGCTCAGGAGGGGACCCTAGCCCGGCCCCGCTCCCTGGCAGGACCACGTGAGCGGGGCCGGCTGGGGCTGCTGATGTCCCAGCCGCCACCGAGCAGCTACGTGCGGCAGCTGTGTTCCCAGCGGCAGCGGGCGGGCGCTGGCACCACTCGCCTGTCTCACAACCTGCTGGTTGCAAAGTGGAACTGGGGGTGGAGAGGGGCCACTGGGAGGCGGGACCAGCCTGGCGGCCCTGAATGGGGAAGTGAGCCTCTCTCCCCTCTCCCCTAGGGCCTTCCCTAGGGGAGGCAAGATGGCGACGGGTCGGCTCACCTCCGGGAAGGAGTGTGGCCCCTTCATCTCTTGGTCTTTGCCAAAGCCATCACCCACAGCCCATAACCAGACTCCCCTCCCCGGGACTGTGACCCTTAGGAGCTGTCAGTCTGCCCCGTGGGGACTTGGGGGTGGAGCTTCTTTCCAGGCTGTTGAGGGCTTCTGGGTCCTATTGAGAGGGAGACGTGGGTTATGGGGGGCAGCCCCCCAGGGAGTTGGGGATCTGGTGGTCTTGGGGAACAATTGCTCCCTGCCTCCAGCTCCGATCCCACAGCTGCTTGGGGTCACAGCCTTCTGGACCTTTGGCTCCTCCCGAGGTACCTGTTAAGAAGCTTCCCTGAAGGGTGTCTGCTGGCTTTGACCCGTGGTCTGTGTGCAGGGGTGTGGGTGTGTAGCAGGAAGGAGGGTGGCTGGAGAAGGGGGTTTTCTTTGGATGCCTTCCTGGTGGGGTGATGGCAGGTGCTTCTTGGCAGCCCAGCCCCTACCATTTCTCCACCTCTTCCTCAGTCCTCTCCCTAGAGCAGCCCTTGAGCTGCTTAGACCAGAGATGTCACCAGTCATCCTGGTGTCCCTCCTGCTGGTTCCCAGTCACCTCCGTATCCCCCCATACCTGGCTCTGTCTGGGGGCTTTTCCCTGTCCCTGGCTGAAGGACCCCTTTCTGTCGAGTTCTGCACCTCTTTCCCAGCGTCTCCCAGCCGGTGGGCATGTTCCCTCATCCTGGATCCATGCAGTCCCCGCTCCAGGACTGCCACCCTGGCCGTGAGGTCCTTTCCCTAAGGCTAGACCTCAGTGTCACTAGGGTACCTGGTGCTTCATCTCCCTTTTTCCCGCTTGGGGCTCGATCCAGTGTCACAAGGGGCCTCACACATTTGAAGATTCCCACGCAAACATGCCCAGCTCTTTCCCTGTGCACCCCACCCTTCAAAACCCCTGAGCAGCCAGGCACCCAGGAGGCTACTGCTGGGGAATTGGGGAATTGCAAATTCGAGACCAGCTTGGGCAACTTGGCCAGAGCCTGTCCTTAGCAGTGGGGGTTGGGTGCTGGAGGTCGAGCTCAGTGGTGCAGGAGAGCACACAGGAACCCCAGCCTTCTGGGTGCCCTGCGCGTGACCAAACGGGCATTCTTGGGGTGTGTCTGGCTCCGAGTGCCAGAGCTGGTCCAAGGCCCTTGGGGTCTGGGTGGACGCTGAATCTCAGTGGCACTGGCTTGTCCCTCCCCCAGTCCTTGGAGGTCCCTGTGTGCTGGGTTGCCGTGTGCTGTGTGCTGAAGGCCGGGTTACATGGGGTGTCGGTGGGCCCAGTTCTGGACAAAGTGGAGGGACGGCCAGGCCTGGTCCCAGGTTCCAGGAAGGATGGGCGAGGCTGGCCAAGTGGTGGGAGGGATTTGCAGAGGAAGTGCCTGCCCCTGCCCAGCACCATCTGTCTTTCAGGGGACAGGGGGGGGCAGGCCAGCTGCAGCCCTGCCCCTTCCCAGAGGCCCCGCCCTTGAGCCCTGGGCCCTTATCTACATGGTGACCATTCTGGCTGGTCATTCTCTGAGAGCTCCATCCTGGCTGCTACCCTGCGTCAGGGGCTCAGGAGACAGAGGCTGAGACGAGCCTCTGTGACTGGCAGAGCCTGATTGTCGGAGGCTACAGGTGGCTCTGGGAGTGCGTGGGTGGGGCCCTTCACAAGTTCTTGGTCCAGAGAGGGGACACAGTGGTCAGTGCAGGGGCTTCTGGGTGGGAACTTGCCCAAACTGCACCCTTCTTTGCAACCGGATGGTCATTTGAAAGAGGAGGGGCTTGGTTGGGATCTCTGACCCCGGGGAGGCTCTGGGGTAGGGTGGACTGGGGTTGGGGTAGAATCCTCCAGGGAGGGAGTGGAGTGGCTCCTTTGCATTTGGAGCCACTCCCCAAACCACCTTGCTGGTTCCAAGTCGGAAGAAAGCCTAAAGCTAGGTGACCTTTGATCCTTCCTAAGGATGTTGTCCCATCTTGGGAGGGGGAGGAACAGCAGACCTGGGGACACTGTATCCTCAGGTGTCTCCAGGTTCCGGTACCATTCTTTATCGGAGTTTCTAGGACCTAGAGAAGGAAGGGATTCGTGGCGGGTTCCTGATGGACCCCGGGGTGGGTGGGGTGACTTTAGTGCTGTCTTTTTTTTTTTTTTCAAGAGAGAGGGAGAGAGAGAGAGAGAATTTTTAATATTTATTTTTTAGTTCTCGGCGGACACAACATCTTTGTTGTATGTGGTGCTGAGGATCGAACCCGGGCCGCACGCATGCCAGTCGATCGTGCTACCGCTTGAGCCACATCCCCAGCCCCTAGTGCTGTCTTATTTTCTTCCTTTTGGTGGTGCTGGGGGCGGAGCCCAGGCCCTGGCATGTGCCGGGCTCTGCCACTGAGCTGTGCCCCATTTGCTCATTGCACGTTGGCATCTGAACACAGCCTCTTGGAGCAGGGGCTGAGAAATCCCGGGCTGGTTGCACCTTTGAGTTTGTGGAAGCTTCCTGCCTCCCCCTGACTGCTCTCTGCCCTCTGTCCAGGTGAACGCCCCTTTGCCTGCGACTGGCCCGGCTGTGACAAGAAGTTTGCCCGCTCCGATGAGCTGGCCCGCCACCACCGGACACACACAGGTGAGAAGCGCTTCCCCTGCCCCCTGTGTACCAAGCGCTTCACCCGGAGCGACCACCTGACCAAGCACGCCCGCCGCCACCCTGGCTTCCGCCCGGAGCTTCTCCGTCGCCCAGGCACCCGCAGCACCTCGCCCAGCAACTCGCTGCCCTGCAGCCTGGCCAGCAGCCCCGCGCCCAGCCCGGCGCCCAGCCCAGCCCCTGCAGGCCTGTAGAGCCCTTGCTCACACGCCCTGGGCGTGGGCCCCCTGCTCGGCCTGGCTTGGACACCAGCAACAGGAGGACATGTCTGCCCTCTGGGGCCCACGTGGGGAACAACCCAGAGCCCCAGGCCCCCTCCAGCAGACCCTGAAGATGCCCCCTGCTCACCTCAAGAAAGCAAGGAGGGGCCTGAGACTGGACCTGGGTCAGCCTTGGAGTCGGCCCTGGACGGTGTCTGTATATAGCCATGATTGTCAGCTGTCTTCCCGTCTGTTCTGTAGGGGCCCCGGGTGGGCAGCCTGCAGGCCCTCCCCCACCCCCGACGCCCTCTGTCTTGCCCAGTGGTGGTGGTTGAGAGGCTGGGCGGGCCCAGGGGAGCTTCCCCTGCCCAGGGCTTGTACCAGGGGCCGAGGGGATGGCCACTCTCTCTAGGTTGGGATGAAGTGTGCACAGAGCCATAGACGGACCAGGGGTTCCCTTGAACTCCTGCCTGTCCCTATCCCCACCCTACCGAAAGCCATTGGAGACGTTCAGGGAAATGGGGGTGCAGCCTGGCCACCCCCAACTCGGTTACTCAATCTCAGGTGTCCATAGGTTCTGCCCACTGAGGGGCAGCCTAGCACCTAGGCCCCAGGGAGGGGGAGGTGTTGGGGTTTCCACAGGGACCCAGGCCCTGCCGGGGGTAGGGAAGGAACCGGCATTCCCTGGGGAGGGGGCAGCGTGGGGGGTGTGTGCTGGTTATTTATGCCCGCTGTCTGCTGGCTGGCCCCCTCCCTGGGTGTGTGTGTGAGAGTCTGGGGAGGCTGGTGCTGTGGGCCGACCTCTTTCTTCCACTGGGGTAGGGGCCCTGGCTTTGGCCTTTGTGGCATTGTGTGACAGACAATCTTGTACAGGACCCTGCTGGCCACTGGGCAGATGCCAGCGGTCCCTGCCCTGCAGGTGGGCTATTGCCCAGGCCGGTAGTGGAGCTCTCGTGCTCTGTCCGACCCTGGGCTTTCTGCCCTCAAGTCCCTCTTGCTCTTGGGTGCCTGAAGGAGTGGCCCCTGGGCTCGGACACCAGAGGCAGGAGGCCCCGCTCTTCAGCCTGCGGGGATAGCTCGTTTTTTTTGGACCGGATAGAATATTTTTTCAGGCCCCAATCCCTTTCTTGTTTGGCCCCGTGGGTGGTCCGATGTCCTCAGGGGTTGTGAGTGGGGTGGGTAGGATAACCTGCCAGGCAGAGCCTCTCCAGGGTCTCCCCACTATGATTTGGATTTCCTTTTGGAAGAAGGACCCAGGACCTCCATGCTGGAGTGGAGAGGGATCCAGGGTCCTGCCCCAGACCTAGAGAGGGTCTGCCTGTCCTGAGGCGCTGCAGGACCTTCCAGTCCCCTGACTGGGGGCTTTGGAGTTTGGGTGACTCTGGCTTCTTCCTGGCTCCAACTCCAGGCCAGACGCAGCGGAAGGCAGGGGTGGTGGGAGGCAGGGTACCATGCCCTTCTGGAGCTGGGCTCGGAGGGTCTACCGGTGCAGCCTGCACCCCAGTCCTTCCCAGGGTCCTTGCAGGCTAGGTGCATCTGTTTGCACACCCTCCTCCAGTGTCAGATGCCTTAGTCCCTGGGGTGGGGTGGGGGGGCTGGGACTCCTTTTTCCTTGTGTCATATGTGTCTTGCTTGGTACCAGCTCCCCCAGGGCCTGTCCTCTGCAGGGGTGGGACTGTGCTTCCAGGACCCAGGAAGCTGGGAAGTCCTCTGAAGCCATGGCCCCTCTCTGGTATCTAGAGGCAGAGACTGCAGCCTGCTCTCCCCGCTACCCCGACCCCGGGAGCTAGCGGTCTCTGGGACCCAGTTCCAGCCATTTAGGTGTGGCCTCTGAAGGGGACGCAGGGGGGGAGCCCCAAGGGACTAGTGCTTTCCGTGGGCGGCGCCCCTCCTCCACCCTGCCTGGCCTCATCCTTGTATTTAATGAATTAAAGCCATTTTTTAAACCCTGCCCCAGAGTCTTCTGTGGTTTGTTCCCTTGGAGGGACCCCTGCTGGTGCGGGGTTTGGTGGTGGTCTTGCAATGCGGCTCCCGCAGCCCTGAGGCCCAGGGAGGGGGCCTGCTGCACTGCGCAGTCACCCACGCCTGGTGCAGCTGCGCCCCCCCGCCTGCCCGCCGGGTTACCTAGCAACGAGCACGGTGACTCTACGCCCGCTGGGGGCGTCAGCAGCCTGCCCCCTTCCCCTTCCGGCTCTGGTGGGGCGGTGAGGGCCTGCGCTGCACCCCAATGCGTAGGCGAAACGCTCCTCCCCGGAAGGCCCCTCAGGAGCGCCCCACTTCCCCATCCGTGCCCCCCCTAGGTTCCTGGGGCCGCTCGTCCTGCCACTCAGGTACTGAGTGCCTGCTGTTTGCCAGCTTCCCACTGGGAAGTGGGGGTGGGTGCCAGGTGGAGGCCTAGTGCCCCCGTGGGCACCGAGCAGCAGCCGGTGGGAGCTTGAGCCCCTCCCTGGGAAAAGACTCAGAGCCCTGGCCTCCCCCGCGCACCTGCCCTCTTCTGAGTCCCGCCCAGGCAAGGCGCTGGCCCGCCACCTGGTGACCACCCTTGGTACTGCGCAGCTGGCGTCCACTTGCCTTAACTCTTATGCAGGGTCCTTCCTTGGTACCCGGGGTCCCGCCCGCTGCGCCGGCTCTTTGCCTTTATGGAGGACAGCGGCCCTGAAGGACGGCCTCCCCTGGCTGCTACTCACTCGTCCCCAGTGCTGCAGACAGCCCGGACCTCGCAGCCCTCCAGCTCCTGCTGGACCTCTCCCTAGGGGCTGGGCTCCTGGAGCCGGGGCTGCACGCCTGGCTTTGGACCCTCCACGTGGCCCAGAAACACCATCGTTCCTTCTTTTTTCTTTTCTTATAGTTGGAGATGGACAGAATGCCTTTACTTTTTACTTGCTTATTTTATGTGGTGCTAAGGATCGAACCCAGTGCCTCACACATGCTAGGCACGCACTCTGCCATGGAGCTACGGGCCTTGAGAGGCCTCTGGACCCCTAGCCCACGTGGGTGACCCCTCCTACCCCCATCTCCTGGGTACTCCATTCCCGCTCACCGGACTGCTTCCAGGCCCAACCCATGCTGGTCCACCCTCACGCCCTGACCAGCCCCAGCCTGGTCCTTCCCTCAACCCCACACAAACAGGTATCCCCCGCTTGGCCTTCGGCCGGCCCTGCCATGTCCCCCACTCTGTGTTGTCTGTGGCAACCCCATGTTCACACCCGCGGGCCTTCTGGACTGGCCTTTCGTTTTTCTTTTTGTTCTTCTGTGGTGCTGGGGATGAAACCCAGGTCCCTGCATGGGCTACATGAGTGCTCCATCAGTGAGCTGCACCCTAGCCCCCATTTAAAAAAAAAATACTTTTTAATTGTCCATGGACCTCTCTTTTATGTATTTATGTGTGGTGCTGAGTGTTGAACCCTGTGTCTCACACGCCAGGACCCGCCAGGACCCCAGCTGACCCCAGCCCCTTTGTCGATTTGTTTGTTTTGGTTGAACCACATCCCACCCTCTTTTAGAGTCAGGGTCTCACTGAGCTGCTTAGTGCCTGGCTTTTGCTAAGGCTGGCTTTGAACTTGTGATCCTCCCACCTCAGCCTTCCAAGCTGCTAGGATTAGGAGCCTGCACCACTGTGCCCAGCACCCCGCCCCTACCCCCACCCTTTATTTTGAGACAGGGTCTTGGTGAGTTGCCCAGATTGGCCTCAAACCTGCGATCCTCCCGACTCAAGTCTCCCGAGTCGCTGTAATGACAGGTGTGTGCCACTGCACCCGCCTGGACTCACCTCTTGTTACTGCCCACCTCCAGTCCACTTTGAAGTCTCCCCTGTGCTCTATCTTCAAAATATACTTGGAGCTTGATCCCTAGCACCAAAACCCCACAAAATATACTCAGAATCCATCACTTTTCCCCACTTTTTCTTTGTGGTACTGGGAATTGAACCCAGGGCCTCGTATATACCAGGCAAGTCGTCTCCCACCAAGCCACACCCCAACTCCTCTCCCCACTTTTAGGGATTCATCTGATCTGGTCCCAGCGTTCCTCACCTCGACCAGAGTTAGCACCTCGGCCCAAGTTCTGTGGTGCCTCCAGTGTGTCCTTCCCACAGTAGCCACCAGAGGGCCTGTGAGCACCCAGGTGAGGTCCTCCTGTGCCTTCAACCTTCCCTGGTAACGGCCTCCAGTGGAGTCAAAGCCCAAGTCCCCCCCATGGTGCACCAGGCCCACCCACCTGCCTCAGCCTCTCCCTGCCTCCCCTCCTCCCTTCCTAACGCTGCCTTTGCTGCAGCACAAGTGCCTCCAAAACCCCAGGCCCAGTCCTGTGTGGGCCTTGGCCTGGGTTGTGCCCTCTGCCTGGAACTCTTTGCCAGATCTTCTGGGTGCTCTTCCCTTCCCTCCATCTAGGTCTCTGTCTAAATACCACTTCCTCACTGAATTCCCTTACCCTAAACAGGAATTTTTGTAAGGAAGAGATACAAATGGCCAGTCTGCCTGCGAAAGGATGCTCAACAGCACTAAACCACAGGAAAGTACAAATAACCACCACAATGAGAAGCCACTTCCACAATGGCACTTCCTCAAGGTGAATGTAGATAACGTGTGGCCCAGGGAGGCCTTTCCTAGGTATCCATCCAAGAGAAATAAAAACACGTGCAAAGACTTGTACACAAACGTTCAAAGCAGCATTGTCTACAACAGCTGAAAAGTAGAAACTACACGAATACCCATCCTTAGATGAATGGATACACAATGTGGCCCACTGCACCAGAATATTACTCAGCCATGAAAAGGAACCAGGCTCTGACACATGCTATAACATGAAAGAAACTTTCCCAATGTAACTATTTAAAGCGCACAATTCAAAGGCATTAAAGAGCATCACTGTTGTGCAGACACAACCATCCTCTGTCTCCAGAACTTTCTCAACTTCTTAAATTGAAACTGTCCCCATTCAGCACTAACTCCCCATGCTCTCCCTGGCATCCGCCATGTGACTTCCTGTCTCTGTGGATCCGAGGGACCCTTGTGAGTGGAGTCCTGCAGTAGGTTGTCTGGCTTATTTCATTGAGCATAATGACCTCGAGGTCCATTTGACAATCCCACCACAATGCACCCGGCTGTTCTTGCAAACTCCCATGAAGATGTGGGCTTAACCCAGGGGCCTGAGTCTCCCTGTCACGCCTGGTTCTGCTGCAAGGCCTGGTTTACAGTCGGTGGTACCCAGTGTTTCCTGAACCTCTAAAGAGAGTGTAGACCAGGGGATTCCACTGCCGACAGGGTTCAGGAGGGGGGATTAAGGCACTCACTGAGAGCCAACTGTACTCCGAGGCGGACTAGATTTTGAGTGGGCGCGGAGCGGCGCACGCGTGGCTCTCCGCACGGCACAGGGAGACCTGCCCGAGGGCCGGCAGGTTTCCCAGCCGGCGCTTTTAGACAGTGCACTAACGAAATGCAAATGACCGCAGCCAGTCCCAAGGGGATTTCTCTAGTCAGGCGCGCCGTGGACAGCCCAGTCACCGCAGGGGCCTGGGACCCAAGATGGCGAGGCTGTGCCGCGAAGGACCTGGCGCCAGCGCGGGAGCAGCTTCCAGAGGCCACGATCAGGGCCACCCACGCTCTCCAGCTCTCTTGTGTCCCGGAGCCGGGGCCCGCCACCC